AAAAAAAACATTCACAGGCGATAACGAGAACACTTGCGCGGTTCTCCGGCGGTGTGACATTAACAAATTGCTGTAACACGTGCACTTCAATGGTAAATGAATAGTACTTTAATAACACTTGAATAACCCTTCAATAGCACTTCAATAGCACTTTAATAACACTTTAATAACACTTTAATAACACTTCACTAGCCCTTCAATAGAACTGCGAAATATGTAACTAGAGCATTCTGCCATTACTTGTTCGATAAAAAACAAAAGTTAGACTGTTACGATTTTTTTTTTTCGGTATTGAATGATTCGAACGTCTTCTACCTTCTCAGAGGTATTAGTGTTACGTTGTTTGAAGTGTACTGCATGTATCAGTGCGTGTGTAAAGTCATTCGCCTACACATGGCTTAAACAGCGTAGGCTGATACTCACATACACGCGTTTAACGTCAAACATATCGGAATTGCCGTTAAAAGCAGACAGCGTAATCTCCCCAGCACGAATGTTCGTTGGCCTATTTCTGATTGTACATTTGCCTTCCGGCAACTCTAGGATGATGCCACAAGTGATGCAACACTATTTGTTGTTGTTATCATTATTACTGCTGCTATCAAGTCCCTTTTTTTTCACTGTCATTGAAACAATCTTTTTTGGATTTTATCTGACGGTCCTGAACTCAATCGTTCCTTTATTTTTTTAATAATCTCAGTAACTCAATTTTATGGGAAATATAAAACGGAAGTCAGTGGCAATGCAAATCAGAAACTGAGACTCTTGACTCGTGGGAAATTCTGATAAATCAAAATATTCAGGATTGATAGTTTTGTCGGTTTGTATTCAATTTTTCAATACGTCAGGAGAATTTTTCTACGGATTTCTGGTCATGTACTACTTGTTGAGGTTCTCACGAATCTTTAATGCCGGATACGACAACGTGTGTTATGTGAGACTTTGCGCACGCACCACAGACGTGACAGTGAATTTACGCATATTTTCATAATTCTCAATTGAATTAATTGTTTCAATTATATTTCATGTACTCGATTTGATTTTCAGATTTCCTGACACTTCTTGGCTTCAGCCTTCCTCTCATATTCATTAATTG